TTGCTTCTGTCATCTAAAAAATTTATGAAAATTTGAAATATCAATATTCTTTTGCCAAATTTGAAAGTTTGCTATTCTGAAGTTTACCAAATTAAACTCTGAATACTGAAATGCATATATTTACCTTTAAATTTGCAGTTTCTCCTTTAATTCATATACCATTTCCAGAAGTGCCTGTAGCGATGAAAAGTGTTCTAATTTCATCCTTTACGTTACTGTTTGCATTTTTGATGTTCATCACGTTAGTCTTATCGGCCGATTTACGTAAAAGATGTATATTTCCGGTAATGTTTGTGAATTATCGCTATTCTGCAATCACATTGGAAGAGGGAAAAAAAGTAAAAAATGGAAGCTTTCAGCGTTACGTTAGTGCTACTGTTGACGCTGGCGTAGTGGTACTTCGTTACAACAATATTGCTATTCGTATAAGATTGAACCACCTTGCGCTGAATCATACGCTTACCAATACGACAGTTGCACGGCAGGCGTAAGCTTCCTTTGACATTTTCACGTCAGTACTCTGTTCACGCTTTCTTAATTCCATCGGTTAATCTGTTGCAGGAATGAGCAATCTGTGACGTTTAATGTTACTCTTGGAGCCAATGGTAATTACTCAATTACTGAGTTCGAACGAGCTTAATACGTTTGCATGCTCATAGCAGTATACTATTAGCTATAATTACAACATTTCGATTCCTTTCACTTCCATTCTCCCGAAAAAATCTTTCCCAAGCTAATTGTCGTTCGAAGAACACATAAATAATTAATCACTAACAGTATTTTTTTGCTAGAAATTAATACTATTGATATTTTGATAATTTCCGGGTAAATTCAGATCAATCAAAGAATTCGGCGTTGCAAAATTTTGATAATTTTATTTACTATCTCCTTCTTCATACGCTTCCTTTTATAAATTGTGTGATTAAAATTGAAAACAGATTTTGGTTCTTTTACACAGCAATTCTTTCGAGATAGCTATTGCGTAACAGTGTGTAATTTGCATAAATGCGATATGGCATACTATTCTCTAATAATGAGAGGAGTTCATATTTAATATGAAAATAAATTTTAGAAGCACATTTTTGTTTT